AGGGTCTAGGCCCGAAACGTCAGCCTTCCTGCTCCTCTGATGCTGCTCGGCCTGCTGTGTTCATCCAGCTCTACACCTTGGAATCTCAGATTCTCCAGTATCTGCAGTTCCTACTATCTCTGAAACAACTTTTTTCAATGCCCCCTAGTTTTGGATTCCCAGTAGGTGGAAACATTCACTTCATGTCAACCTTGTTAAACCCATTCTCATGTTAAACAAAGAGGAATGTGCGTTACCAGTCCCAAGAAAAGGCACTGCTATTAAATACGGTCACCGCGACTTGCAGCAACCAGGTTTCTCACACATACGGAAGCAACCTCCTTGGCATTAAGACTTTTATCATGCACTGCTGCTTTGGTGCACAGTTGTGATTTGAGTCCTTTCAAAGTGAACTTCTGCCACAAAGTCATCCAGACAAGGCAGTTGTGTTCTTTGTGTTAAAGACCTTGAGTCCTACGCCATTTGTCACAACATAAATGCTGTTGACTGAGAGAATCCCTGGCTCCTCATTTCACAGTTCACAAGGTGTCAGTGGACAAAACAACTGATTCAATTAAATTAGGTCATCAGACAAAGATTAATTACTTTCCCTTTTACCATACTCGCCATGTTAATTTCTTGCTCCTAACCCATATTGGTTGATGCATGTTTAAAGGCAACACTCCGATTTTGATTTTGTGCATGCACACATGGTATTCTACCTTGCAGGGGCATTAGCAAGAGCATGATGCACTACAGAAATTCAGGTTTGGCAGCATCTGTGGAGAGAGAAAAAGAGTTAACATTTTGCGTCTAATATGTCTTTTGAATATTATGACATTTGGGAATTTGGAAATCAGCTACAAGTCAACAGGCATTGCAAAAGTCTGCAGATTGTTTCCTAAATAAATGGTCCTCTGAGAAATGAAGAGTCACTGACATTTCCACGTTCGTCACTTGCATTGTTTGCACTTGAGACTCCTTTTTATCTGTAACCTATCTAATTGAGATGATCTGCATGCATTCTAGTCCTTTCATTATCTCAAACTCCTCAGTCAGTCTGAAACTCAAAAATGAATAGCTGCAGCTTTTAAAACCAATCTGGGTAATAAGGTTGTTCTGAGATGGATATAATTTTCGTGGCTCTCATTTCAAAAGTCTGGTTCACTCATTGTTTGAGGAAGGCAAAGTGGGGCATGGCTTTCTATAATTGTTTAACCAGTCTCTTGCACAAGGCCGCATTGGTGTTTAAAAAAAATGTTATTGCCCAGCTGTGCAGCCTTTAACTCTTGTTTGGTTTAGATGTGAACCAATGTAAGATGATTGTAAATACTAAGATCTTGTTTTTTTTAAACTGACTTCAGTTCTATCAACTTGTGGCCTTGCTGATCGTTCTGCCCACTTGTGTATACTATGTTTATCTACGTTAATGACGTTTCAATTTCATTAATTTCTTGATTGCATCAACAGCTGCTTGAATTTTATAGCATGGTATTATCACCTAGAATCATTGAATATGACAGCATGGGCAGAAGCTGTTTGACCCATTATGTCTGAGCCAGCTGTTTTGAAGGCCATTCTGTTAAGTTCTAGTCCCTCACTCTGTACCCCTATTCCAACAATTTTTTCTCCTTGAGAATTATTCAGTTCCTTTTTGAAGGCTGCTATTCTATCTGTGTTCTCAACCCCATCATGCAATACATTCCATTTCCTCATCACTTTTGTTTTATAAACAATCTTTCCTTATATAACCTCTGATTTTGCTGTCACCTTAAATTTCTAGTCGTTAACCCTTCTGTCACAGGCAGTAATTGCTTTTTACATAGTCTATTCAAACCTTTCACGATTTTAAACTACAGTCGAATGCCCTTTGATCCTTAAGTGTTCTAATGAAAACCATTTCAGCTTCTATAGTTAACTAGTTCCTCAGAATTTGGAAACCGTTCTCATAGATATCTTCTGTACTCATTGCAAATCCTTCACATTCTTCCCAAACATGTCGTCCTGAATTGGACACAGTTCTTTAGCTTGGGCCAAGTTAATCTTTTGTTCTGTTCTAGTACCCCCTTTAAAGTTATGCTATTATTGTGTTCTATCTCATATTCTTCCCAACAAAATGTATCACTTCAAACCTTTCTCCTTTGAATTTCATCTGCCATGTATCCACCTATTTCACCAGTTTATATCCTCTTGAAGTCTATTACTAATAAACGGTTATAGATGGGCAAAATGTAAGCATGTTGTTTGACATTGCTATAATCTGAACTTTCATTGCAGAAGGATTGATTCCTGTATTACAGGAAGTATCCAAAGTAAAAGCAAAGTGCTGGAGAAACTCAGCATGTCTGGCAACATCAGAGAAGAGAGAAATTTGAGTTAATGTTTAGAGTTGGATATGACACTTCAGAACTGAAGGGGCTGAAAAATGATGGTTTTTATGCCCATTGACAAAGGGAGACCTCATGGGTTTGTTCTCAGCAGAGCGAACCTATTCTCTGCTATTAATACCAACCATTCACTGTTATTCTATATCTCTTCTCTACCACCAATACAATCCCCTTTGCCTTTTGTTCTGAGCAGCCTCACTATCTTGTCTGTTTGCTCCTTCTCTCCTTATCAACAGCCTAAAAATCATGTTTCAGCCCCCTTCAATTCCAAAGAAGAGTGACGTTGGACTTGAAACATTAACTTTGTTTCTCTTTCCACAGATGCCTGACCTACTGAGTTTCTCTCGCACTTCCTGTTTTTATTTCAGATCTCCAGCATCTGTAGTATTTTGCTTTTGTTTTATTAAAACTTTCTTACTTATCTTGCATGCATTTGTTAATAGGTCTGTTCTTGGTTAGTTTGCATTTTGTTAACATAAGCTATGTTATTGTTCAGTTAATCTTGT